AAGAGGTCTCTTTCTGGCAGAGCCTTTCAGACTCCTTGCTGGGCCAGACGGAGGGGTCAGAGGGCACTTCTAGAGCCTGTCCCGGGAGGTTCTAGCAGATGAGGGCTCAGTGGCGCCCACTTGGGGGCAGCACGGTCTTCAGAGGCACTGCCTCTCCCCGTCTTCTGTCCCTGTAGGTGGAAAGTCCTGTCCCTTGGTCCGTGCTCAGTCAGCTGTGGCCTTGGCACTGCGAGTCGCTCTGTGGTCTGCACACGGTTCGCCCGTGGCCAGGACACTGAGGTGGACGAGGCGGCCTGTGCAGCCCTGGTGCGACCACAGGCCAGCGTTCCCTGCCTGGTTGCCGACTGCACCTACCGGTGGCATGTCAGCCCGTGGACAGAGGTTCGTGCTGGGCCTGGAGCTGGGAGGGCAGGAGCTGTAATCCTGGTGCACAGGGGCAACTGGGGTCCCCGGGAGGAGGGGAGAGTTGGGTCTGTCGGGAAGGGAGCATCTAGAGACAGATAAGGCCAGGAGATCTGGGGGGCAGCTGGGCCTGGGCACACCAGTCCCACACCCCTGTGCCCATCCTGTGCCAGGCTCCTAGCAGAGACAAGCAGGAGCTGGCTCATAGCATGGAGGGGCTCCGGGCCACGCCGACAGAGCTGGGCCGCGGGCCCCCCAAGGCTGCTCTGAGGCCACTGCCCGGCTGTCAGAAGGCCCCTGGGCATCAGGGCTGGGCAGAGATGGGTGCCGGGGAGAGGGCAGTGTGGGGCAGGAGGGCAGGCAGGTACTGCTGCGGGGCCTGGCTGGGTGCAGGCGGGGAAGGCCATGCGGAGGTGTCTGGCCCTGATCTCCGCCTTGGGGGCCAGGGTGACAGAGACCTGGGTTTGGATCCCAGCTCCTGCCACCCACACGACCCACACAAGGTGACCTCTCTGAGCCTCAGCCTCCTAAGTTGTGCAGAATCATGCCGGTCACGGCTGTCCTCGCCACTCCGGGCGCCAGGACTCCTTTCCCTCTCCTGGCAGTGCTCCGCCTCCTGTGGGGATGGCACCCAGCTCCGGCATGACACCTGCCTCGGACTGGCCCAGGAGCCCGTACCGGCCGTCTTCTGCCAGCACCTGCCCAAGCCAGCAACTGTGCGGGGCTGCTGGGCTGGGCCCTGTGTAGGACAGGGGACACCCAGCCCGGCACCCCACCAGGAAGCCCCTGATCCAGGCCAGACCTCAGCTGTCCCTGCTGGCGCTTCCCAGGAGTCGTCCTGGCCCCTCTCCCCAGCTCCCCAGCCTCAGGGGCCATTGCCCTGGCCTCAGGAAAGACCCGTGGAGTACAGTACGTTTCTCCCTGGGTCTGCTGTGTGTGTGTGTGTGTGTGTGTGTGTGTGTGTGTGTGTGTGGAGGTGGCTGCAGGAAGAGTGGGCAAAGGCATCTCCACTTAGGAAAGGGAGGAGGGCGCCCCCTGGGAGAGGGAGGGGGTCCTTGGTCCCCTGGGAGAGGGAGGAGGGCACTTGGTTGCTGGGAAAAGGAGGAGGTCCTTGGTCCCTGGGAGAGGTGCTTGGTCCCCTGGGATATGTACAGAAGGGCTGGAGAGGCACCCCACGGGGCCAGGCTCAGGACCAGTCTCCTCCCTCCCAGCAAAGTGAAACCTCCCTCTATTAAAATCAAAGTGAAGCCACTTGCAGGGTTTAGAGTTGGGAACCAGGTCTGTGCAGCTGGAGCCCACTCTCTCCAAGCCCCTGGAGGCGGTACTGGGCCTTCGCTGGCCACGCCTTACTCACCAGCCTCCTGGTCTCCTTCCCCGCATAGAAAGGCCCAGTCCCTGGCCTGCTGGGTGCTGCAAGCCCTGCTCACCTGGGCTTCTGCTGCCTCGCAGGTGCCTGCGGCAGGCAGCACCCGGAGCCGACAGGAACCATCGACCTGCGAGGCCCCGGGCAAGCAGACTGTGTGGTGGCCATTGGGCGGCCCCTGGGCGAAGTGGTGACGCTCCGAGTCCTGCAGAGTTCCCTCAACTGCAGTGCGGGTAGGTCCAGGCCTGTGGGCAGTTGCTGCTGGTTATGGGCCCGACGAGGTGCCCGTCCTGGTAGGGTACCCGTGTGCATTTCTGCTTCTGGTTTCCATGGCCGCCTCGGGAGTGGGGTGCGCCCACCCCCATTTTACAGGTGGGAGACAGGCCAGGAGAGTGAGCAGCGTGCCAGCCGCAGAGCCCAGGCCAGTGAACTCGGCGCTCAGCTCAGCTGTCTCTGAGCTGCTGTGGCCGGGCAGGGTGCTGCCCTCACCACATGGCCCTGTCCTAGGGGGGCTGCTGCTGCTCTGGGGCCGGCTCACGTGGAGGAAAACATGCAGGAAGCTGCCCGGCATGACTTTCAGCTCCAAGACCAACACGTTGCTGGTGAGGCAGCGCCGGCTGCAGCCTGAAGGTGGGGTGCTGCTGCAGTACTGGAGCAGGACCGCCCCGGGCTCTTACACAGGTACACGCGTCGCCCTCCTCCACCCCTGCAGGCAGCCCAGTCCTGGCAGGGCGGCTGGTGGCACTTCTGGGGTGGGGCCAGTCCCAGTGGGGTGGGGAAGGGTTGACCAGAATGGCAGGAGCCCAGGGTGGCCATGTTGGTCCGCACATGTGGTCTGGGTGAGACCAGGAGAAGAGCCATGTCCCTTCCTTTCTGGGGCTGTGCACAAGACGGGTGGTTGTGGTCTCTGTCCACGTCCTCACCGTCCCTCAGACTAGAGCCATCTCGGTCCACGTCCCCACCGTCCCTCAGACTAGGGCCATCTCGGTCCACGTCCCCACCGTCCCTCAGACTAGGGCCATTTCCCTCGTCCCCACCGTCCCTCAGACTAGGGCCATCTCGGTCCACGTCCCCACCGTCCCTCAGACTAGGGCCATCTCGGTCCACGTCCCCACCGTCCCTCAGACTAGGGCCATCTCGGTCCACGTCCCCACCGTCCCTCAGACTAGGGCCTGTACCCTTGCCCCGGGCACTCAGGTCCTAAAGTAATTTTTTTCTAGCTTATTTATTTCATAAGCAAGAGAGAGAGAGGGGCAGGCACTATCAACAGAGTCTTGTGCCAAGGTCCCTGTCCCCTAGCCTGCCTGATCACAGGAACACACGCATGTGGCTGGCACGTACAGGTCCACCCTGGCACTGAATCCCAATCCTCCGTATTGGGCCAGGTCCCAGCAACTCGGTGTTGCTGTCTCTGCAGTGCTGTGGTGGGGCCCTCCAGGTCCCTGCGGGGCACATCCCCTCAGCCCTGCTCCAGTGCACAGTGGCGTCCATACTCGCACACGCAGGTGCATCCACATGTGGCCTGCCACCATGCACACTTCAGGCAGAGGATGGCATCTGAGGGACCCCGTCTTGCCCACAGTCCTGCCAGTATCCTCTGATTACCCTCTTGGCTGCCTCGGGGGCTTACCTGTCCCAGCAGCACAACCTGGCTTCCTCAGCTGCTTCCAGAGGCTTCCTGGTTCCCCCAGGCTTTGGATGAGAGCCACAGACAGATGCTCAGGCTTTGCAGAGACTTGAGGCTCTGTTCCCGTGTCCCAGCGTGACCTGCCCCCCACAGGGAGCAGAGCTGCTGCCCAATGAGCAGGCGCTGTGGAGTCCTGAACAGCTGAGTGCCTGTCTGCAGTGCCTTGCTTCCTGGCCTCCCCACTCGTAGGCACCTGCCTCCAGGAGGCTTAGCAGGTGTAGGTCGGCAGGGCCCCAGCGGGATCCTGGTCACAGCAGTGGCCGCCACAGTCAGAGCCTTTGTGCTAGGGTCAGGCTAAGCTCTTCGGCGTGTGCGACTTCACTGAGTCCTGAAGACCACCCTCCAGTGCTTGCCATTGCTGCCTTTGCAGAGGGCCTGAGTCAGAGCATCTAAGGCCTTGGCCTATCATCACTCGGCCAGGAAGCAGGGGCAGTGGGGCTCAGGAGGGCTTCTCCCTGGGGCTCTGACCTCGGCCACTGTACCACACTGTCCCCCTCACTGTTCTGCAGCAGTGAGCTGCCCTGGCCTCTGGCCTTGCGTCTGTCTGGGCTCCTGTGTCTCCGCAGTGGCCCACAGCACCCACCTGCTACCCCTGCAGGATGTGACGTGCAGCTCTTTGGCCCTGGGGGGGAAGTTGTGAGCCCCTCTCTGAGTGCAGATGGGAGGAAAGCAGGGGGCTGCCGGCTCTTCATCGATGTGGCCCCTCGGGCCCGGATTGCCATCCATGCCCTGACCACCACCACGGGCACCGGACCCCAGGGGAACAACGCCAGCTACATCTTGGTGAGGCTGCCAGGTCAGGGCAGAAATGGGTTGACTTTTGCTGATTCAGGACACTGTCCCCAGGGATGGGGATGGGGGTGCTGAGCCAGGGGACCCCTTCAGTTTTTTTCAAACCAAACACCTCAAACTCATTAGTGAAGGAAGGGGGGAAGAACTTACGAGAGAATGGCGAGAATTACTTACCCACTGACAAGTGCTTGCTGAGCCACTGTGAGAGCAGGTGGCTGCCACGCCGGCCACTGCACCTCCCTCCATGTATTTTTTAAAGTTTTATTTATTATTATTTTGTTAATTTTTAGTTTGACCACAGAGAGACAGGGGTGGGAGGTAGTGAGAAAGCAAACCGCCAGGTCTAGGACTCAAACCACAGCTGGCCATGTGGAATTCCAGTGCTGTCCAACCGTCTGGAAGCCCGCGGTCCCCTGGCCACAGTCCCTATTGTAATGACCACCACATCACCTTCTGGCCCTCCATGAGGTTTTATGCAAGGGATCTGCTTCCCCAGAGGCAGCCTAGGCTCTGGAATCAGACCGAAACCCCTGCCCTGACACCCTGGCAGACTTTCCTGGGCTTGACTTCCTGGGTAGAATGGCAGTGCCCTGGTAGGGCCCTTGTGGGGTTTAGTGTGGTCCCAAACTATGATTGATGCCTTGCACATTAAGGCTTCCATGGGTACCTGCTAATTACCTATTATTTGTGGCCGGTCCTTCCGGCTGCCCCTTTCCTCCCAGATCTGGGACACCCACAGCCTGAGGACCACAGCATTCCGTGGGCAGCAGGAACTGTACTGGGAGTCAGAGGGCAGCCAGGCTGAAGTGGAGTTCAGCGAGGGCTTCCTGGAGATGCAGGCCAGCCTGCGGGGCCGGTACTGGACCCTGCCATCCAGGTTGCCTGAAGAGGACGCAGAGCGGGAGCCTGGCAGGACCCTGCCCTGAGCATGGCCCTCAGTGACCCCAGTGCTGGCAGGGAAAGGGAGGGTCTTTCACTTGAACAGCTGTGAGGGGTCTGGCAGCTCTGGAGGGTCAAACTCTGGTTTCTGAGTGCTTCCTGCACTCAGATCTTTACGGTCTCGCCAGTGTGCAAAAGGCTTTGAAATGGGTGGGGGATTCTTCAGAAGGGCAGCCCCGGGGTACCAATAAATGACTGCCATCTTCACACAGCCTGTCTGAATCCGGCCAGCTCCCACCCCGCCGCAACGGGACGGCCCCATCCTGATCTGAGCTAGACCCTCCAGCCCTAGTCGTCCTCTGACCCCGGGAGGGAGTGCAGAGTCGGGCCAGGGCCCGGAGGCTGGCGCACCTGCGCAGGTTTGGCGAAGCCCCGCCCCTTAGCTGGCCAGAGTGACTGTCCGACCTCCTGGAAGCCCGAGCGCCCTGGCCACGCCCCTATGCTAATGATCACCGAGACCCCTTCGGGCGCCTCTAGCCACCGGCCCCGCCCACTATGCTAATACAGCCGCCTCTCCCACAAGGCAGCGCGCGGGCGCCGACGCGGCCGGCTCCAAGCCCTTTGTGAGGGTCGCGGGCTGCGCCGGGCGACAACACCATGAGCGGTTCCGGCGGGACAGCGGCGGCGTCCGCCGGCTCCGCGCCGCCCGCTCAGGAGGAGGGCATGACGTGGTGGTACCGCTGGCTGTGTCGCCTGTCGGGGGTGCTGGGGGCCATCTGTGAGAACCGGGTCCGGGGCAGGGCCCCCCCCGACGCCGCGCCGGCGCTCG